TCAGTTTCCTGTTTGTCGTGACTGCATAGAGAAAGAGCATGTTCTGGGTCATCTTATGAAACTACTCAAAGCAAGCTCTTGAGATATAGATCAAAATCATTTAGGCTTTTGGCGGATTCTAGTGATGGAAATTTCAAAATGGTTCATTCAAAACACTGGTTCAGAAATAATAATGTGGTTTACAATAATTGTTTATGTAATTTTGTGTTTCAGTCCTTTAGTCCCTGGATATAATTTGCATTTATAATAAAAAAAAAACTCTTTAGAAAATGTATTTTGCGTTTTTTAAATTTAGATATGCTTATTTTAATGTGACGATTTTTTTTGTCATACTGCTATTGAACTCCTTTTTATTCTTACTCAAGAACAGCTCAGACAGATTTCTGAAAGAATCGCGAATCGATTCATTGAAACGATCCGACTCAAAGAACGATTCGGACATAACTACTACATTCAGTATTGATGCAATTAATTAAAGAGGCGTTTGAACTATTTGGAAATCAATTAAAAACTCAAAACGGCTTGAGAAAGATGCTCTAGATATAAATCTGACATAGATTATCAAGATCGGTCTCCTTAACTTGGCCAACAAACGGTGAACGCCCCCCTTCTCATCACTAAAAACTGTTCACTGTTTTTATAGTGGTCTGCAAAATTCAAAAATACTAATAGCAACGTTTTCTGTAGATAAAAATATATAGCCAAATAAACAACACGGGATTAAATAAATAAAGATCTAAACATATAAAGCCTCTGGATGAAAAGACTGGGAGTTGTTTGCAGGTTGAAGGGAATTTAATGCTTAAAACCGATGAAGAGCTTTTGTTTCGACAATACTAAACACGACATTTCTACTTGAAATATTAGTTAAACGTGTTTAATATTTCAGAAAATATTAATATAGAAGACTGTTGTTAAAAGGAAACGTACACCGGCTTGGAGTTGTCGTTTTATTTTCAAATACCAAGGGTAGACAAAAATCACCAAATTAGCAATCGGGCTAATAGTGATATAAATATGTCGACCATCGATGTTAAAACGCCTGCGATCTGTTGTTTTCTTCGTACTATTCGTATCTTACGTGTAACTTACTATATTAATGGCATGCACAAAACTTAATAAAAGTCAGAAAATAAACTTAAAAGATGATTGCTAACTGCCCTACTATAAAAAACAGAGCAGAAAGTGGTTGACTGGGGCCTTGAGGATGGCCGTGCATAAAGGACGCGCTCTCACCTCGTCGAGGTGTCCAAGCGCTGATCGAGCATATCCATGAAGGCGAGCGGATTTAAAAATGCGATATTCAGCGACACTTGAAATACTGGAGATGGAAGCGCTGATCACGGGGACAAACACACGGGTCATGTGAGAAAGACAGTCCAGGACACGTGAGGTGCAGGCTGGGCAAGGAGTTAAAATGGAGACCGCTGTGGAGGAAGACGGAAGGTGTACCGGTTGTTGTTGCGTATGTTACTCACTCCCGCCCTACTGTCTAGACGAGTGCTCGACCTGTTGAGTCGCTTAGTGGCTTCTTTTCAAACGTATAGCGCCTACGTTAACACTGGATTTATTTATCGGTTTATTTTGAAGCGTTTGGTACTTTAAAACCTCGTTTTCGCCTTATTTCAGAACCGCGCTGTATTGCTTTGATATCGATCTTCACGTATCCCTCCGCGAGCGTTTAGCGCTGCCGTCAATAAGATATGGAGTGGAGTGCCTATTTTAAACAAAGTGCGGTTTAGGTTGAAATAAAGGAACAATAAAATATTTTAGGTAACTTACACACTAATGGTTGTGTACGTATTCTGAAACGGCTTGTATTTCGAAGGTAACGATAATTTAAGGGGTAGAAACCGAACAAATAGGGAGTCTAAATTATTGCGATAGACTTTCAACGCTTAAACTGGAAATTGAAGTTCAAATGAGATCTAACTAACGTTAGCCTATTGCTATTGCAACCTTACGAGTTTCATTATGAATGACGGTTTGAAATGGCATTTAATAAAGGAGTGCACTTAAAAACTTACCTTGATTTAGAATCTGTCCGTGTGTAATTCAAAACATATAACGTGCGCAAAATATACGATTTTTCCTTGGTCACATCAGCACAGGGAATCACGAGTATGACGAGTGGTGATTTTTCTCAGGTGACCTCCGAGATCCAAATCCGGGTTTTTGGTCAAACCACATGACACGAACGCAAGAGTGGTGCATAGGATCTCTAATGTGAATGAACTGGCTAACATCATTTATACAAACGCTCAGAATTATTTACTCGATGTACACGTGTAACATGTTTTCATAAATAAACATGAGATTTTTTTGGTAGTAAAAGCGTTGTTTTGCCAATAGTCCTCGGCTACTCTATGTTCCTGAACTTGCACTGCTGTTGCCACGAGGCTGTGCTGTATGGCAAATTGAGCAAATGTGTGTTTTTTTTTATTTTATTTGAGCCTTGTCGTCATAATTACGCAGTATATTTTATGTACATAGTTTGAGAAGTTAACGTAATTAATACAATAATATTAAATGATCAGCTAAAGCCAAAGACATTTGACAACATGGAAACGATTTGAACATTTGAACACCAGCTCACACACCTTAAGGGTTCCTTTTTTTTAAATTAAAATAATGTGAAAAATGTTGTGGTTGCCAGTTACTTAATACTTAAAATCTGATGTTTATGTGAGAAAAAAACTAAAAAATCCAAGTATAGTTTTGGACATGTTTGGCAAAACCACCATAAAATATACTTTCATTGTCACTAGCACTGTCCCCTACATTACAACATTTTTTTCTAACGATTTTCATTCATCATTCATTGAAACACCCAAAATAAAAGATTAAAGGTTTTGTTTAACCTGACATTTGTAGTAGGCCTGCAAAATAAACGTTTGTCCAAGTGCTTTTGGAGAATAAGCTACTAAAATTGTCCTGTTGACCATGCAGATATTCAGTGTCTCTGTTGTTAACATGTATTTTAATTCAGTTAATATATCCAGCAGCAAGTATATATATATAATATAGTGCCTTCATTTTTTTTTTTCACATTTTATGTTGCTGCCCTATGTTAAACTGCTTTAAATTACTTTTTTTCCATATCAATCTACACTCCATACACCATCTTTGCAAATTTATTAATGGAAGAAGTTTGAAACAACCAGGACTCTTCCTAGAGCTGCCCTCATGGCCAAACTGAGCAATTGATGGAGAAGGGCCTTGTCTAGACTGGTGACCAAGAACCTGATGGTCACTCTAGCTGAGCTCCATGATCATATGTGGAGATAGGAGAAATCTACAGAAGGACAAACTTCACTGCAACACTCCACCGATCTGGGCTTTATGACGGTGTGGCAAGACTCAATCCTCTCTTCAGTGAAGACACGTGAAAACGCACTTGGAATTTGCAAAAAAAAAAGCACTTAAAGGACCCTTAGACTGTGAGAAACAATATTCTCTGGTCTGATGAACCTCAATTCCAAGCATCATGTTTGAAGGAAACCAGGCACTGCTCATCACCTGCAGAGTACCATCCCAAAAGTAAAGTGTGCTGTAGCAGCCTCATTCTGTGGGGCTGTTTTTCAGCAGCAGGGGCTGAGGGACACCTCAGAGTAGAAGAAAAGCTCAATGCACCAAAATATTGAGATTAGCCTTAATGAAAACCCAGTCCAGAGCATTCAGAACCTCCGACTTGGCAGAAGGTTCACCTTCCAACAGGACAATTAACCTAAACACACAGCAGGAGTGGCTTATAGACAACTATGTGAATGTCCTTGAGTGGCCCAGCCACAGCCTGAGCTTGAACCCAATCAAATATTTTTGGAGAAATCTGAAAATGTGCATCTGCCCCCATCCAACCTGACAGAGCTTGAGAGGTGAGGAGAAGAATGGCAGATGATTGGCAAATGCTGATGAGCAAAGCTTGTTGCATCAAACAAAAAAGGCTTGAGACTGTAAAGGTGCTTCAGCTAAATATGATATAATAAAAGTTATGTATGCAACTTATTTCAGTTTTTTTATTTTTAATAAATGTATGAAGTTGTGACAATTCTGTTTTTGCTTTGTCAATATGGTGTATGGATTGTAGATTAATGTGGAAAAAAGTAATTTAAAGCAGTTTAACATGAGGCAACAACAACAAAACATGAAAAAAATGGAGGGGTATGAATACTTTTGCAAGGCACTGTATATACATACATGCATACAGTGGTGGCCAAAATTATTAGAATACTAGTATTTTCCCGCTAAAAATGGTTTTAAGTCAGTTATTTCTATCTTTTGCTGTAGTATGTCAGTAGGAAATGTCAGTTTACATTTCTAAACATTCATTTTGCCATTAATTGTAATAATCCAGTGAGATTTTTGTTTGCACAAGGAGTCTGACAACAGTCAGTGCTCCACACAGAGATCTGATCTATATGTTCTTTAATAAATAATTAATATGTGGATTTTTTTAACTTATGCTCCAGCACTGCTTCTGAACCTATAAGCCAGTGTAGAAAATGGATGGATGGATATTTTTCAACACTTTTGTGGTACTACTGCTTTGTTGTAAAGCAAGCACCCAAGAATCTCACTCAACAGTACATTTGTATATACACTAGTAATGTAATTTATAGGAACAAGGTCATGTGATTTGATTAAACAGATGTGATTGTCAGTCATACAGTTAACCTGTTTTTGACACATCACATGAGTCATATGCATATGGGTTCTCTCTATATAAAAGCTTGTTCATAAGCATTGACTTAGTTCATTAACACATTTACAGATCATAATTTTATCCAAATGGAATTTTCCCTATAATAGTTTGAACTATTATTAAAAATGGATTTAGTAATTTGATTTGCGAATGGGAAACATGGAGTTTATTGCACTTTAAACTAGGTATGCCTGGGTATCCACACTGTGGCCCCTGTCAAAGCAAGCATGCAACTCAGCGTTTTGCATTGACAGCTGTACCAAAGCAATCCTTTGAATATGTGCAGCTACAGAACAGTCTACTCTTCAAACAAAAGGAGGACCATTGACCTCATGCATACACATAGTGAAAAGTCAGACTCACCAGGGCCCCTGCCCTAACCAGTTCAAGTGTATTTGTTTCAGGGACAGAGGAGGTAGCATTTAAAGGATTTTGCCACCATCAACAAAAAGGGCAGCACAGGTTGTCTATTTCCCTTTTGCCTCTTAACATCTCTCTCTCGTTCTCCACTCTCTCACTCCCTCTTTCCACCGAGAATAAGCAACGAGGGATTTGCCTCAGAAGCAACAAGGTATGAAAACTTTTATGTTTTTTGTATATATCTGTAATTCTTAATATTCAGGTCATTGATTGAAACGTCAACGCAGTGTGAATGGAACTGGTAGGCTAGTTATCTTAAGATAGGCATGTCCATTACATAAATTAGAGAAATGTTTTCTTTCTTAATGACTATAGCCTGGAATATCATAAATAATTCTCATGTTTTAATGAGACAGGCTTCTCAATTTCAATATGTTGAAGTATACTGAAAAAGTTGTAACATCTGTATTTTTAAGCTTCTTGTGTGAAGAAATTTGATGAACAAAATGAATTATGCAACTATAAAGATATCTATTTATGTGAAGCCTGAGGAATGTTTTTAAAGCGTATATTGCTTATAATACGAAATTCGTAATGCTATTTTGGAAATGTATCTAAAAAATGCTCAAATGCTTCTGTGTTTAAATCAGGTAATTTTGATGTATTAATATTTATACATGTTAATATTTAATTTAATATCATATTTTTAATCTACTGAATTACAATTTTTGCCAAAAGATGTGGACATTTTTATTTAGCCAAATTTATTTAGCCATATATAGTTTGAAGAGAAAAATAGTTTGATTTTATAAAATGTATTATTTATATTTATTTATATTTTTTGTTTATTAGCTTTACAAGATTTTTGTGCCATTTATGAATGTGTATTCAGTATAAGCATCTGTATGTGTAAAATCAAAACTTTCCTCCTAACTGTTTAGTGTATATCACCTTCCTGCATAGTTGCAAAAAGACTGTAACATCTGTATTTTTAAGTTGACGAAACATGATAAATGAAATGATTTATGCAAGTGTAAAAAAATCTATAACTGTAAAGCTTGAGGAGTAATTTAAAAAAATAGATATTGCTTATAATACCAAATTTGTAATGCTATTTTGCTCATGTATTTTTAAAACATGCATGCGCAAATGCTTTTGTGTTTACCTTGAGTGAAATGCCTTTGAGTGAGTTATTTTAATATACTAATATTTATACATGTTCATATTTGATATAATATGTTTAATTTGTTGAATTACAAAATTTGTGTTGAAATATCTGTGGACATTTTAGCCAAATGTTGGTTTGAAGAGAAAAAAATTGCTTGATTTTATGTTTTATTTATATTTTTGGTTTATTATAGGAAGTTTTTTATGACGTTTATTAATGTGTGCACATAAGCATCTGTATGTGTAAAATTAAAACATCTCTCCTGTCTGTTTAGTGTATATCTCCTTCCTGCATAGTCACAGCATGTATCAGGATGTACAGCTTTATGGGCGGCGGCCTGTTCTGTGCCATTATTGGGAACATCCTAATAGTGGTTTCCACAGCGACAGACTATTGGATGCAGTATCGCCTCTCAGGCAGCTATGCCCACCAGGGCCTGTGGAGGTACTGCATGGCCAACAAGTGCTACATGCAGACAGCAAGTATAGGTAAGCAAATATATTCATGCAAACTTCATGCATTCATGGCTATTTTAAATCATTGTGAAGTTATAAGTCATATGTAGAGTCAACAACATCATACAAGAAATCTGGCACCTGCATTTGAGGTTCTAGACCATTTTTGCCTGTAGATGGCAGTGCTTTATTATTTTTGCCATACAGAGCTCCACACTCTGGTTTGTGTTGTCTGAGCCTTGCACAGTCGCATTCTGAACAGGTGCTCCAAAGTTGTACCCCTGGTCTCATAAGATGGCATCTGAGATTACAGGAGCTGTACTCTGGTTCATTCAAGGGGATTCTGCTGGGACAGTTCTTTAAAGATCACATGAGAAAAATCCGACAAACAGTGATAAGATATGGCTGGGATGAGAAGAGAATGAACATACCCATCTTGACTGTTGTTTTATGATCGTTTCTTGTCTGTTTCCCCAGCATACTGGAATGCCACACGGGCATTCATGATCCTATCGGGAATGGCGTGCTTTGCGAGCATCATGGCAGGCATCCTCTCATTTGCCCATTTTTCTGCCTTTGAGAGATTCAGTCGTTCCTTTGCAGCAGGAATCATGTTTTTCATCTCCAGTAAGTCACAAAACACAGGCACAGTGAGCTGTAGAATGTGAAATTTTAGCATATTTAAGTATAACTAAAAACTGTTCTCAAAGTCAAAAATATAGATGGCACCACTACGTTTCCTCTGTCCATTTTTAACCTATCACTTTTTTTCACACCTGACTCAGAATTTCAAGTGGTAGAACATAATAAAGTGAGTTTTTATGGCATGCTAAAAGTTATGAAATGTTCTCGTGGTGCAGAATGGAAATAATATGCCTAAGGATGTGGTTGAAAGGACTTTGATTGACCTCATGATAATGTTCTGTCACAAAAAATAAAACCAGACCAAACTCATATTAAAAAGCACATTAAAATGTAAGTGTGCCTGTTCTCATTATTTAAAGGGATAGTTCACCGAAAAATGAAAATTATATCATTAATTACTCACCCTCATGTCATTCCAAACCCGTAAGACCTTTGTTCATCTTCGGAACACAAATTAAGATATTTTGATGAAATCCAAGGGCTCTCTGACCCTCCACAGACATCAAGGGTACTACCACGATCAAGGCACAGAAACGTAGTAAGGACATTGTTAAAATGGTCCATGTGACATCAGTGGTTCAACTGTAATTTTATGAAGCTACGAGAATACTTTTCTGTGCGCAAAGAAAACTAAAATAACAACTTTATCAAACAATTCTTCGCCTCCGTGTCACCCTAGAGCGCCATTTTGGAGAGTATCACGACACATGCGAGTGTTCTCCTCTAAATGTTGTTTACATGTAGGAAAATCATGCGTAAGCTTCATGATACTCTTCAAAATGGCACTCTAGGGTGACGCGAAAGAGAAAAATTGTTGAATAAAGTTATTTTAGTTTTCTTTTCGCACAAAAACGTATTCCCGTAGCTTCATAAAATTACTGTTGAACCACTGATGTCACATGGACCATTTTACCGATGTCCTTGCTACATTTCTGTGCCTTGATTGTGGTAGGACCCTTGCTGTCTATGGAGGTCAGTGAGCTCTCGGATTTCATCAAAAATATCTTAATTTGTGTTCCGAAGATGAACGGAGGTCTTAAGGATTTGGAACGGGATAAGGGTGAGTAATTAATGATATCATTTTCATTTTTGGGTGAACTAACCCTTTAATATATGGTGACCTACCAATGGTTTGGAACAAACAAAAACAGCTAAGTAAATAATTGCTGTTACATGTACGTGCTAATTCTTTCATGTATTTATTTCATTTTTAGTTGATACTAGAACAAATATTCACACTTACTTAAATGTTTATGATTTGAAAATTGTCTTTTGCAGGGATATTCTACATGTGTGCCCACAGAATGTATGAATCCAGGAGAGTGGTTGGAAGTCGCTAACCTGAAGAAGGAAAAACTGCAAGCAGCAGAAAGTTTTGGCTCAAAAGTCATCAGGAACTTCATCACACCTTAATGTTATATAAGTTTAATAACTTTAAACTTCAAAAATACACTGACAAATTTATAGTTTAAAACCACATTAAAGGACTCTTTTTTTACACACGCACATATACTTGTATAATTCTGCTCAGATAAAAATACCAGTCTTCACAAGTGTTTATTTCACGTTTCATTTTTTTTTTTCAATAAAATTCCACATCATATCATTTTCTGTGAAATTTCTGTCTTGATATATTGTAGCATTGCAATACATTATGACTTCACATAAACACATTTTTAGAGCATCTTTCTATGTTGTTGGAAGTTAGAGCTTGTACATGTAGTTATATGTAACTGTTTTGCAATATAATTTCACTTTTAGTGTTGCATCATTTTTGCAACTGTTCATAAGCATTTATTTCACCATGTGGACATGAGTATCAGACTTGTTTCACAGTTTCACACCAGCTCAAATTCATAGTCAGGCACATCCTGTGTTAATCAGTTGTGAGAAAAATGGAGCAATAAAAGATCGAAGCTGGGTTTACATTTTTATATAGCAGTAAATGGGCGTATTTTGTGAGTGAGACCCTCGTCACAATTTTTTTTTGTTGTTGTTGCAGCTATTACGGTAGGGCTTAGTATGCCAGCTATTTCTAATATTCATTTCAGAATGTTTTTGCTTTCCCTCTTTTATTCATAGAAATGGTGGTCGTTCCTCATCTGAACTTTAAAACTTTTTCCCAAGTGAGGTACAAAAAGTAGAAGTAGCCTTTGTAGTGTAGAAAGTCTTGCAAAAATATTCAAAGTCAGAGTTTCAGAAGACAATATAAGACTTTATTGGAAGAAACAACAAACATTCCAATATGTGTAGGCTATATTTTAATAAAACATGAGCCGCTTAA